GAGGATCACAAGAGCACAATCGCTGTGTACATATAATCCTAGAAAATGATGCTTATCAAAATGAACTACAAGAAATGGAAGCAAGAGGTTTATGTTGCACTGTTTGTAGGTATTTTTTTCTTTCCTTTTTTTCTTTGGTTGGTTCTCGTCCGTCATTTTTAAAACATTTCTGTACCTTGTCTTGTATATCAGTTTATCTGATTTGGGGAGGGGAAGAGGAAGCGCTGAAATGGTGGGACAAAGGGTGAACCAATTCAGCAGTGAGACCTACTAGGCTATATTGGAAATGAACTATACAACTTGGGGGGAGGGAGACTGGGAGGGGATACACTGGGAGAGAATGAGGAAGGGGGTGACACTGTTCAAAAGGAAATGCACTCATTACCTGACTTATGTAACTGTAACCCTTCCTTACATCACCTTTACAATAAAATTTATCAAATTTAAAAAACATTGATTTTACTGATACTCTAACATTGGTGAGGAGGCTATTGTACATTACTCAGGGAGGCCTAGTGACATTGCCAGGGTCACCTAGCTGGGAGTAGTTTAGGCAAAACTGGGAATTACATTTTCTACTCTTGTTTTTCTGATTAAGGGTGTCTGATGTTTTTTGATCCTCGATTTCAGTAATGTGGCAAGCCATGGTTATATACCTGTGTGGAGAGGTCTCAGCTTTGGCAATATGATTGTCTTAAAAGCAAGAAAGGGTCGATAAAGAACTATGAAAATAATTTGTTATGAATAAAGGTGACTATTACCCCCTCTTAGGGATTCTTTTTCCTCATTTGACTTTCACAAGTTCAAATTCATTCATTCATTTCTCAGATGTACTGTATGAAGGTATTTAGGATTAGTACTCCTAAATTCTGACATTGTCATGCATCCCTCTACAACATCCTGCTCTTGGGGAGAGAGGGAGGTGGTGAGGGTTAAAAAACAGGAAAAGACAAGCTGCCAGCATTCCAGTTTTAGCCAGTTAATTATAATTGTATCCAAGTGAAGTTTTCAACCAACAGAACTTAATAGCATTTTTTTTTTAGCAAGAAGAGAATCTTAGAACCCATTAAGTCAAAAGTTGAGAGAAAGGAGACTAGCTAAAAAACCATCCTCTGTAGAAAGATAAGATGCTAATTTTTAGAGGCACTCAGCAGTTAGAAAATCAATTTTTCTAAACATTGAGAATTATTGAGTGGCTAGAAAAGCATCTTACTCTATGAAATATAGTCATTGTTTAGTGCCTTTCCATTTTATTTACTATTTAAAGCATACAACAGCTAGTTAACCAACTACTTATAAAATATATTTAATGTTTAGAGGCACTCAGTGTGGTTATAAAATGATTTTAAGGGTATACAAAAATGGTATGTTAACCACATTTCATGAACTATGGTTCCCTCTGGAAAAACAAAAACATTTTCCCTGGCATCCTGCGGCATCTCATCCTGAAGTTTGTAAATGGCCCACACTGCTCAAACCGGCTGCCTTGCTGGCTTTTGATGCCAGCCACTTTAGCACACACACCAGATAGATCAATATAACCCCTACATAAGTGATAGAGCACTGTGCACTCAAAGGCTGTTAGATTCGCTAATAAAGAATGGCTTGACAGCTGCAGTGAAATTAAGCAGCATGAAAAAAAAAAACAACAACACAGAAACCAACCCAGTGAAGAGGCTGGAGGGCTGCAGACTTTCCTCAGTGTATGGTGAATTGATGGGTGTACTGTGACACAAGACACATTGAGATGTGACTTGGCCCCTGCCATGGGTATGTGTTAGCAAGTTTATGGCCTATGAAAATATGGGGAGCGTCTAACACTGGATGGGCTAAGGATGGAGCCTTTATCCAAAGGAACCTGCTACACATCATCATGACAAGGGAGACATAAGGGAACTCAGCTCAAGCTTAACAGTGAGGGAATGTTCGACCATATGTATTTCCAGGCAATAGCCTGCTTCTGTGAAAACACCGCTATCACCACGTGCTAATCTGTATTTTTCATTATTGAAATTCTGTATCACTGGTTCTTTAGGAAATCGATGTGAATGTGACTTTCAGACTTTTTGGTTTATCTCATAAAGTTGAATATGTAATGATGTTTGGCTTATATTAACATAGGCTCTTGCTACATGCAGCCTGGCAGAAGGGTCTCTAGCCCAAGACTATGCCACATTCAAGCCAGAGAAAAGGACATAAAGACAAAGACTGAGAGAAGTCTAGTGCAAACACATTCTTCAGCATATAAAGTGTAATATTTCTAGTGAAGTTAATCATTGTAAATTTCTAACCAAGGATAGGTGATGTGTAAGGAGACCCACTTTTAACCAAAGGTTTTAAAAATACATAAACTATGAAAGTGGAGAGGATTAAAAGAATAAAAATCCAGGCATTGGTGCCTCATGCCCATAATCCTAGCTATTCAGGAGGCTGAAATCTGAGAATCTGAGTTGAAAATCAGCCAGGGCAGAAAACTCCTTCAGTCTCTTATCTCCAATTAAGGACTACAGAGCCAGAAATGGAACTATGGCTCAAGTGGTACAGTGCTAGCCTTGAGCAAAAGAGATCAGCGTAACCAAATAGAAAGCCAGAAACAGTGTTCACAAATAGCTGATCTTTGGCAAAGGAACAGAGGCAATACAATAAACAGTGCTAGATATCCAAGTGTGAAACAATATTTAAAATAATATAAACACAGGCTTCACAGCCTTTAGAAAACCTGCAATACACTAATAACAGGCTATATTTGAATGTATGCAAAGCAGCATGAACTCATTCATTGTTAGTGGGAATACAAATAGTGCAGTAACTTTAAAAGACAATTTCTGCAGTTAATTTTCTTTTTATTTAAAAAAAAAATTTCCAGTGATGGGGAATGAACTAATTCTCAGGCATGACAGGCAAGATACAGGCTCAGCCTGTCAGTCTCACAAAACCGAACATACTCATACCACACAAGTTAGCAATAACGTCCTTGATATTTCCCAAATGAACTGAAAACTTACGTCCATACAAAAACATGAACGTCTGCACACAAATACTTGCAATAACTTTATTCATAACTGCCAAAAGCTGGAAAACAACCAGCGAGTCTCCCAGACCAATAAACAATGGTACCTGCAGACAATGGAATATTATTCAGTGTTTAAAAAATGAAGTATCAGGCTATGAAAAGACATAAAGGAAACCTTAATGCTTATTATTAAGTGAAATAATCCAATCTAAAGGAGTATATACTGCATGACTACCTAATTTTCTAGAATAACAGAATTAAAATAGCTATGGATCCATGGTTTATCAGAGTTCGGGGAAGGGAAAGATAAAATGGATTGTTAACATAGGTTCCCCAAGTGTAACGAATGTGCCATCCGTCACTGGAGAATGTTTGTGCCTGTACTGAATCAGGGAGCTTACGGGAACTTTTCTGGCAACTTTTCAGGCAATTCTGCTGTGAACTTAAAATAGCTCTAAAAATACAGTCTAATTTTTATTTTTTTACTTTTGATGGACTTGAGGATAAAGATGGTAATATTTCAAGCAAGGAATAAAAACCCCTATTTAAAAGAACACACACCTTTGTCACTGTTTTTGATTTCTGTCCCCTTTTCTCGATTATAAGTTTATCTGATTTGGGGAGGGGAAGGAGAAGCACAGAAATGGAAGGCAAATGGTGAATTCAGCAGTGATACTCACTAGACACTATGTTGGAAATGAACTATACAACTTGGGGGGAGGGTGAAATCGGGAGGGGAAAAACTGGGAGAAAATGAAGGAGGGGTAACATTGTCCAAAAAGAAATGTACTTATTACCTGATGTATGTAACTGTAACTCCTCTGTACATCATCTTTACAATAAAATTTAAATGAAAGGAAACGAATACACATCAGTTAGGATGTGTTTACACAACTGACATAAGGAATTGTAACCATGGGGTGAAATTAATACTAATTTTTCGAATAATAAAAACACTTAAGTATATAGTCTGCAAGGTAATTTGAAGTTTAAGTTCTATAACCATAAGCAAAATCTAAAATAGTGAAACTGAACTGAACAGAAAGTTTTGGAGAAATATTTTTCTTTGCTTTTGCTTTAGGAAGAATGTCCATTTGTGTGAAGACTTCCATTCAGGTAAGACTTACTTTTTCCCTTTTATGCTTTGTTTTATTCTTGTTCTTTTCCTTTTTTTTTTTAAATGCCAGTCCTGGGGCTTGAACTGCCCTGGCCTATTTTACACAGGGCTAGTGTTCTACCTTTTGAGCCACAGCTCCAGTTCTGGACTTCTGCTGGTTAACTGGAGACCAATCTTAAAGACTTTCCTGCATGGGTTAGCTTGGAGCCATGATCCTCAGATCTCAATTTCCTGGGTAACTAGAATTACAGGAGTATACCACTGTACCCAGCACTTTTTTGCATTTATGCATAAATGCAAAGTGTATGGCAAATTGTGTTCAGTCTGAGTCTCCTCCCTAAGATGTGGTGTGAAAGTTCTAGCAAAAAGGAACCTGTGAGGTTGTTCATTGCTGAGAATTGGTGAAAACAAGCCTGTAATCCTAGTTACTCAATAGCTAAGTTTGTAAGACTTTCTCTCCAATTAATCACAGAAGCCACATGCCACTTCTGGTAAAGCACTAGCCTTGAGCAAAAGTAGTTCAAGGGCAGCAGTCCAAGGCCAAGAGTTCAAGTCACAGGACTTGCAAAAAAAGACAAAGAGAGGAGGGGAGGGAGGAAGGGAAGGTGAAAAGAAGGAAGGGAGGCAGGAAGGAACTACATTAGAAGTGGAAATGTAGCTAAAGTTACATAGAGAGTGTCACCTGGACTGAAAAAGCCAATAACAGCACAAAGTCTAGCATTCAAGCCCCGGTATCGGTGTGAGTGCACGCGTGCACACACACCACCACCACCACCACACCATCACTCTGCCAAGTCCACTGAGTTGCTGAGGACCAAGTCCCTTTTGGAGTCAGGCTGGGTTAGAGCCTGTTGGCAAAGGGACCGGCTGCTAAGGCCGTCGCCCTGACCACTTTGGATGGCATGCGTAGGACTCATTAGGTTGCCGGGGAGGGTAAGGGGGAGCCCTTCTTCGACCATGGCTCTCACTGGAGATTCTGCGGATGGGGCCCAATCTTGACTCGCAGAAAAACATGGCGCTGGCTTCTCTGGGGTAGTCCATTTGGCGTGTCGAGCTGGCGTCCCTGTGGTGTGGGTGACGCGTGGAGGGGGCGTCCCTGTGGTGTGGGTGGCGCGTGGAGGGGGCGTCCCTGTGGTGTAGGTGGCGCGTGGAGGGGGCGTCCCTGTGGTGTAGGTGGCGCGTGGAGCTGGCGTCCCTGTGGTGAGGATGGCTGGTAGAGGGGGCGTCCCTGTGGTGTGGCTGGCGCCTCGAGGGGGCGTCCCTGTGATCTGGCTGGCGCAGGGAGGTGGTGTCCCTGGGGTGTGGCTGGCACATCGCGGGTGGACACCAGTGGCGAGCTTGGCGTGGTGGGTTGGAGGGCAAACGTGGGTCTCGGTGGTGAGGGCGGTGGTGGTAGGTCTGGACGGGGATCTGAGCGCCATAGGGGGGCTCAGCCCTCCGTGGGGAGCGGCAGGGCGGGGCAGCAGGTTGGTGCCAGGGCAAGGGCAGTGGGCGCGGGTCACCTCTTCTGCCCTGGGACTGTCTCCTGTCCCTCGTGTCTGAATGTCTGTCACTGGGGGCATCCACGATCCACCTGCCTACAGGGTCTGGGCTGCGGAGGACCACGCCCCAGGCGTCCGCCACGTGGGCCAGCAGCAGCTGGGAGAGGTGTCGGTGGGCCACCTCGTCCCAGTGGACGCCGTCTGGCTGCCGGTGTTGGGCGGCCCGTCGGAAGTGGAAGTGGAGATCGAGCACATCGAAGCCGTATCTGCCCGCCGCGGTGGAACTGTAGAAATTGGCCTCTATCACGTCTTCCCCCAGATGAGGGGGGCAGCGGAAACCTGCGAACGGGGGAAACGCCCCCGAGATGGTGTCGGCCACGGGCATGGCCGTGTTCCACACGAGGAGGCAGGATTCGGGCAGCGCGTGTTGCAGATGCCCGAAGAGGCTCTCCAGGTCCTGCGGGTAGCGCCTGCGGAAGTGGCGGCCATACCTGAACAGATCCCCGAGGCAGGAGTTGAGGATGAGCAGGTCGGGGGTCGGGGGGCCCCGCCGGAGCCGGTCGAGGAGCTGGCGGGCGTAGGCCGAGTAGGCCCGGGTGAGGAAGTAGAAGCGCACCAGGTGGTGGCCGG